ATCAGTGCACAGCATTTGCCAATACACACTTCATTAGGGTCATGCCTATATTTGTCAATAAAATTTTATCACATTAATTCTCTGGGAGAGATTCTGAATGTGAAAGTCAGTGGAAACAGAGCCACTTACGCCTGTCTGCTTCTGCTCTGTGTACTTCTTTTCCAGCAGTCTGATCCCAACAAACCCTTTTGGATTTTGCGCCTCGTTGTTGAACAAAATGAGATGGATGCAGTTGATCTGAAGAAAGATACTGAGAGAGCAGATGAGATCAAGGCTATGAAGCAAGCTTGGGAGGCTGCAGAACCAGGGAGAGCTATCAAGGTAACAGGGTCATGCTTTTTTTCCAATATGTAACATGAAAACTACTGAGGCACAGCAATTCCTATCTGGGGAAAAAAAACAATTCCAAATAGTGATTTATCAATGCCATATGCAGGAAATGCTTAGAACACTTAAGATTAGAGAAATAATGAATATACCTCATTTTTCTGTCTGTGAGTTCTATTGGCCCTGATTGCTGGAATAAAATCTAAATTTCAAATAAAGAAACTCCTGAATTCCACTATAGGAAGACACCGCAGGCTGATCCTGACAGCTGAAATGATGACTATACTTGTATACAACTTGGAGACAGTTGTTCTTACCTTGTACTAAAATAGGTAGTCTTCAACTTACGGCCACAATTCAGCCCAAAATTTATGGTGCTAAGTGAAACATTTGTTGAGTGAGTTTTGCCCTATTTTACAATCTTTCTTGCCACCGTTGCTAAATGAATCATTGCAGATGTTAAGTTAGTAACGTTGTTAAGTGAATCTGGCTTCCCCGTGGACTTTGCTTGTCAGAAGGTCACAAAAGCTGATCACATGACCCTGGGACACTGCAACTGTCATAAATATTAACCAGTTGACAAGCATCCACATTTTGATCACACTTATAACAAATGAACTGTTGTAAGTCAAAGACTACCTGTACATCAACATAAAGTTAGAAAGCTAAGAATTAAATCTTAAGAACATTTAAATCTGAAATAAAACCTGCTCATTTTAACAAGACATGTACCTGAATTATTTGCATGCTTTTTTTTTAATGTGCTCACAATGATCTGATTGTCTGGTGGTTCCATGGACACATCTATACAGTTTTCTTGGCAACAAAATAGAAGTTGCTTGCCTTTTGCTTCTTTTGGCTTTGTGCATGGGACTGAAATATTAATTTTCCCCTGTTTTTTTTTATGGCTGAACCAGGAATTTCATTTCATCCCCAAAATAATAAAATGCAAAATATTTTGCCATAAATTGCAAAATATTTTAAATTCAGTATTAAGTTTAAGGATCCCATTGAATTCATTGAGGAATGTCTGAGTTAATAGACATTAGATTGTGCTATACAAAAAATAAACCTCTTGCTACTTAAAAGTTTATATTCATGTCACGATCTGATGTGGTTGTTTACTAATTTAGATTTACAATTCTTACTCCAGGACTAAGTTTAACCTATTAATTATATCATTTTTTTCCTTCATCACTATTAGGCTGTATTCCATGGTTTACTTTAAACCCACTTTAATGTGAAATATTAATTGAATTGTCATCAGTAAGTCTGCTTCCAGCTGAAATCAGCTCATAGTGACTATTAGACATGTCAATGTTTGCCATCAATATGAAAGTGATTTGTTCCTGCCTTCTTCCAGGAATTTGTTTTATATATTTCCCAGCCAAGTCTATTAGGATTTCTTAGTGATCTTCCAGTTAAGTATTGAATAGATCTGACTCTGCATAATTGTTTCAAGATCAGTTAAGATCATCTAGTTCTACCACCTGCTAGGATGCTATTTTCACTAGCAGTGTGTATTAAATCTACAAAAAAAAGTCCTTTGTTAAATGTGATCATTTCCATGCATTCACTGAAAATAAAACATTCTGCAGGTGGATTTTAGCTCCACTCCAAAACAGCTCTTCTTAAGAGAACATTCTACACCAGGGGTGTCAAACTCGCAACGTCATGTGACATGTCGCGACACATCGTGACCTTTTTCCCCATTGCCGGAGCTGGGGTGGGTGTGGTTTTGGCATGACGTATCCGGCCCACGGGCCGGCAGTTTGACACCCCTGTTCTACACCAAGCATCAACCTCATTACAAATGCAATATAATCCTTAAATTACAAACAAGATCGTCTTATAGTTTTCTGCTGAGAGTTACTTATCTGTTCTCATTTCCAGTTGCTTTAAAAACTGCTTCACTGTGTGCGTTAGTTGTTTTTATTACTCAACTGCTAGCAGTTAAACAACTCTTGAGTTGCATAATCTAAAGGCAAAAATATTGATATTTTTGTTTCTGGTGCTGTCATTTCAAATACAGCAGCTGAATGTTGTGACATGAATCATTCATCCATGTGTTTGCTTTCATTCTGTGACTCATATTTTCAGTTGCAAAGCAAATAATAATTAAACTACTCAGCCTAAAACCTAAGCTGTATTATTTCTGGCCACATGCTACTAATGTAAATCAAATCCTAATAGATTAATATCTTGAAAACTGCTACAATTGCATATACAATGCATTCAGAAAGTCTTCACACCCCCTGGATACACTGTATGCAGGCCAATATCAATAAAGGAGAATATTTATAGCTCAGACTTGAAATTAGAGGTCCTTGGTGTTGTCTGAGCTTGGTTATTTTCTTGCAGATGTTTTATTACCCAAAGTAGATAACATCAGTACTGATGTTTGGGCAATGAAACATCTGCAAGAAAACAACCAAGCTCAGAGAGCACCAAGGACCCCCTCATAGGCCAATATAGTTAAAGGAGCATTATGAGGAACTTGCTATGCTCTGGAACCAGAGTCTGAGAGGCTGGATAGTCAGTTTCTAATTAGGAAAATAACCATGGCAAAGGAGAACTTGATGTTTCATAAGGAAGCCTGTTTCATTCTTTCCTGCCAGATAGAAATCTCAGCTTATGTGTTGGCTTGGGACCAAGGATTACATAATTGTTGGCAAGACCACTAGCAAGAGAAGATCAGCCCAACCTGGATTGGATATGACGTCAGTTTCTGGCTCACATATCTATTACAAAGCCATATTTTTCTTGTCACGGATGAGTCTTTGTTGTTTCATTCTACATCGGTGCTACAATTTTTTACATTGTACAACTTCAGCTACGCCCATTGTGATTTCATATCCTCCTTGGTTTTGATACTCCCAATTAATAGTTAGTTAAAAGTCAAAGTAACAAGCAAGTACAGAGGAGGAGCAAGAAACTGAAAGTCATGTAAAATATAGGTAGCCTTGTCTGTACCTGAACTATAAACAATCAACTATTTACCAAACACATTAGCACTCTCCCAATATAACCTGTGCAGTTGAAACCAATGTTTGCTTCCCTTCCCCTGCAAATTATATGGTGCTGGAAAACTAGATCTACTTGGTGTCTCCATATAGTGTCCACACAGTATTTTTCTGACTAGTATAGTAACTGTACAATGCTGACCAGTTGTGTTGGCATCCCCAGGTTTTAAGGGACTTGCCACAACTTGTCATGATCACAATCAAAGGCTTTCTTGTAGTCAATAAATCAGTTGTAGATGCTGCACGTCCCTAATCTGAAAGCCCAGTTCATGCTTACTCCTGTCAATGCTAGGACACAGAATTTAAAACACTGCATCAAACTGCCCATTTGCAAACCATTCCTTATTGCTTAAGGCTGTTTTACATGGGAAAGGAAGGCATATTCCTGTTAATTAAAATAATCACCAACTGCAGCTCTACTGTGTTGTGTTTTATATTTCATAGCTATATGCAGCACCAGTTCAAAAGGCAATTATTCAATCCCTTTTTATATGCCAATGGACTGACTATTAGAATCATGCAGATGCCTTTGACGGTGTTGTATAAAACCATATTTGGAGAAAAAACTATTTGAAAAATGTATAAAATTCTTATTAGATTCATATTAATGTTACCTATTTTATATCCAAGTAGATTGTAGAAGCTCTCAAAGCAAGGATATCCTGATACTTACATTAGGTGTTTTAGGCCTAATAAAATGAATTTGTTGTTCAATGTATATTCTGTAAATATTAAAAAAAGTTTCTGTGTCAAAATGGTTTGATAGATAACAGAACATGCAGGTTCGTTCTTCTAATTTTCTGCAACAAATCTCTTGTTTCCCAGGCTGCTCAAGAACGCGTACGTTATATTAATGAGTGTATTAAAAAAAGCCTAATGGAAGCTGAGGCTGAGAATGCCAGCCCTTCAAGGGAAGCAGGTATGCATGGGCAATGCAAACATGATGTTAAGCATTCGTGAAAGAAAAGCTTTGTCATGAAGGCTTCAAAATCATAAAAAGGAGAATATTGCATGTCATTCAACTACAGAATAGAAAGAAAAAGAAACAATGGATGAAAACTAACCAGGGAGGGAGGCAACTTAGAACTAAGGAGAAAATTCCTAATGGTGAGAGCAATCAACCAATGGAATAGCTTGTCTTCAGAAGACATGGATGCTTCATCACTGGAGGTTTTCCAAAAGAAACTGGGCAACCATTTGTTCTGAAATGGGATAGGGTCTCCTGCTTGAGCAGGGGTTTGGACTAGAAGACTTCCAAGGTCCCTTTCCAACACTGTTAGTCTGTATTCTATGTTCTAGAAGTGCAGTGAGGAAATCAATATTTGCGCTTATTATTATGGGCAAAATTAAAGTTGAGCTGAGGTGAAAAAGGTAAAAAAAAAGCAACAGTGTGTGCAACATACAAAGAAATGGGAGAACGTTTTTAGATATTAAGCTCTGCGGGCTCACAGCAGTATAAGGCTTCACATATGGTACATTAACTCCTGTTCCATAGTGTGTCGTTCTGTATAACTTCCTGCCATCTATACTTTCTGGATTGCCTTGGAACTTGATATACTGTCTGAAGTATCAAAAGAAGAGAATGTCTGTGGCGTAGGGTTGAACTGAAGAGTTCTTGGTGCTCTCTGAACTTGGTTGGTTCATTGCAGATGTTTTGTTATTCACGAGGTAGTATCGCAGTTCAAGTGAATGTGAGGTTTGCCGCCAGTTTTGGTAGCGGTATAGTTTCTTCCTTGGTGGTTCCTCGGTTACAGTATTGTTTTCTGCCTGATTGTTTGTTTGGTGTGTTGGCTGCTGGGGAGAACGTGTTCTAGTCTTTTTGTTTCCTTTCTAAGTTTTTATTGCCTCTTTTAAATGGTTCATAAATGTAGTTATCTCTATGTGTCTATTGATGGCTGATCTGTCTGAATGCCAAGATTCCAGGAATTCCCTAGCATTTTTTTTAAATTTGGCTTGTTCTAACAAGCTAATAGTTTCCCAATTAAAACTAAGGTTAAATCTTTCCCTGTGTTGTGAAATTAAGAAGTTTTTCATTGTATCTTCTGTCAGCTAACTGGTTTTTGCGGATGTGCTCTGCTAGTCTTCTGCCTGTCTATTCTACATCATGGTCGTTACAATTCTTGTACATGGTCTCTGTTTTCATTTCTTTAGCTACTGGGATTTTTGTTTGCTTAAAATGTTGTAAAGGGCAAGTGCTGGTTTGGGTACTAGAGCGATGCCACGTGGTTGTAATGGTTGATTGGTTGTTTCTGAGGTGTTTTTGAAGTCTGGGAGTGTTAAGCTTTTCATAGGTTGTACTGATTGTGTGACTATGTTATCAGACATCTTTTGATAAAGTTGTGTGGATACCATTATATTAAAATATGTTGTATATTGGTCTGTTCGCTCTTTCTAATGTTCTGAGGTGCTGCTGTATGTTTGTGATTTAACGGTTCACAAAGAAAAAGCTTAGGTCACTTCCTCTGTGATCTTATATGTACAATACAGAGTGGGCCTGCAAACGCAGATGCACTGCCAATCAAATAACAGAAATCTGTCAGTTTTGATAATGAGAATAATCTATTCAGAAAAAAGGAAGAGATCTCAAAGTTAATCAAGGAGTTCACCACAATCGCAGCAAATTCAATTTAGTATGCCACTGTGCAATTATACTCACTGCTGCATACTTCTATTTCTAGATCAAAATTGTCCTATAACAATATCAACATACTGGCTATTAAGGCAGGAACCCAGCCAGTCCCTGCTCAGTCCCTGCCTGTGGGTCTGCATAGCATAGCAGACCACTCTGCCTCTGAAGATGTGAGCCATAATTGCTGGCAAAGTGTCAGGAAATCAGACCACAGTCACTAATCCCTAAAGACAAGAGCGCCCAATAGATACCAGCCATGAAAGCCCACACCACTATAATGCCAATATAATTTGCTGATAACATTTTGATGAAGTTTGAAGAGTTCTTCCTGTAAAGTACTGGTGGTTTTAAATATTCTGTACTAGAAAACAGAATGTTCATCTCTGCAAGCTAATTCAGTTGTTATTATCTTGATAGAAAATGTTTCTCCTATTTCTGAAGTAATGGTATTTCCTCCAGTCACTGAAGCAGGTTTAGCCATTCAGCGGAAGGAATGGGCTCCTATAGACCTCGCTCCCTATATTAGGTAAGTGGCACTATATTTTTATATAGTAAGACTGTTAGTTATTTTATTTGTATTTATTAAATTTTTATGCTCCCCTACAAGATGACTCTGGGTGGCTACTCTGTCAATAATTTAACTTCTAATTGTTAATTATTTTAAGTATTTAACTTGGCTTCTGTTGGCACCTTCACTGAATTTATAACCGAAGCGTTTTCTGTTCATGTGGAATATAATGTACCTAGATCTTGAGGCTGCACAAAATTTAAGATGCCTTCTGAAGACAATATCTGTAGCTATAATCTCGGTTTTACCTTCAGAAAAACACAGATTGTGCCTATCGTGAAGAATGAGTTCATTATCCAACAGCAAGAAATGCGTAAAACAGAGGAAATAAATATTTTTAGACATTTTCGAGAACTGGTTCTGGAACATAGGCAGCAAGAACGCATGGCGAGGAATCAGTTGAAGCAAAATGTACTGGAAATGTATGAAGATTTACAAGTACGTTTGCTTATTACTGACAACTTCTTTATTGTATCAATTCTTACTAGCGTGGCTTTGTTAGGGATCCTGATGATCAGATATTTTACTCCACAAATTTCCAAACGTACTTCTAAATTAACTCCTATTATCTTTTCAGTTTTGACATGTTGGCCTGGGAGACAAATTAGAATGTGCTGTGTCTGAAAAAGCAGCTGTTGGACTCACATTTAAACTAATATTTAGTATAAAATATTGTCTATTAAACACCTGTTAATTCAGTATAAGAACATTTACTGAGATAATAGGTAAAGATACAAAACTACAAGACCCAATGAACTGATAAATTCATCTTTTCTGGTAATGAAGTTATTCAGCATCGGCTTATGGGAATTGCATTTTATTATGCCCTAACTTTAAATGAAAACAAATTATTTGCTTTTTTTAATGAACAAGAAAAATTTCAACACAAAATAAACAATTTAAGAATAAAATAAACACAACGATAAACATAAAAGCAACCAATCCTTTTTATGGGTACCAAGCATTTGGTGATGAATAACGTTGTAATTAGAGTTCCTGATACTTTCCAAATAATCTGGAAGACAGGCATTGGATCTAGCATTGAACACAGCACCTCTCTGATCCCATTTAAGCAGCTCAGCTGTTTCTGGGCTTTTCCCCAAGAGTTTAAAGAGGGTGCAGCACCTTTTGATTCTAATATCATAATTATAATCATAATAATCTTTATTGTCACTTTAAATGTACACCAATCGGTGTACATCAAAATGAAATTTCGTTGCATACAGCTCTCAAAGGGTCACCACCTCCCATATACATTCCTTGTTTGTGGCCTGCTCAAGTTTCAGATCGTCCATTTTAGTCTCTAGGGAGCGAACGATGGCAAACAGGACAGATGGAAACAGAGCTTTATGTGGACTAGCTCTCAAATTAGCTTGTATTCCTTATGGGTCGGTCTAATGAATATCAGGCAGATGCTGTCCTTGCATGAGGTCTGAAGCGCTTCTTTCAAATAATTTCAAAGCATAGACCTCTTGATTGATTAGCAAATACCATTTCAAGAAAACTAAAGAATATTTTACAATTGTGGAAGGAAGTGACAGATCATATAGAGCAGGCTCTGTTAGCAGTCTGGAATGAGGAATACATTGTTCTAATACTGACACATTTGCTAAACAATTGTAACTTTCCAAAAAATGAAATAAAATCATTTAAGGGCTACAGGTAGTCCTCAATTACCAACCACAATCAAGACTGGCAATTCTGTCACTAAGTGACAGGGTCCTAGAGTGAAATGTCATGGGACTGCATCAAATTTATGACATCAGTTTCAGTTGGTTATTAATCAAACCATTACGGATGGTTAAGGGCAGTTATCTCATGACCTTGACTTGCCACTTGGTGCTGGCTCCCCCATTGACTGGTCAGAAGTGGCTGTGAAGATCACAAAGGGGGATCCTGTGATCGCAAGACAATGCAACTGTCGTAAACGCATGCCCATTGCAAAGCACCGGAATTGTGATCACATGACCACGGGGACACTGCAATAGCCACAACTTCAGAGATTGGTCATGAACCTACTTTTTCAGGCCTCACCATAACTTCAAACCATCAATGAACAAGGCAATGCATAAGTGAGGACTATCTATGTGTGATTTTTTAAAAAAAAATATGTACAGAAAATGTAGAAAAGGAAAATATTTTTTTTCTTAATGTAAATAATTCTACAATATAGACCATTGGCTGAATAAAGAGGCAAAGGAAAAGACGTAAGTAATTTTAGAATACATGAACCCCATCTGGTGCCACTATTATCAGAGGTTTCTGTATATACGTGTAAATGTGGGGAGAGAAGTGAGGGAGAGAGAGAAAGAAATGCATACATAGATACATACTGATTTTGCATGGACTGTGTATATTTATCTTTGGACAGGCAGCCTTAGACGGGGACCGAAGCAGGATCTTTGGAATCCGAGAAGCATACAGAGCCAAACTATTGGAGGCTGAACGTTTAAGACTAGAAGCAGTAGCAGCTGAAGAAGCTGCCCTTCGAGCAGAGCAAGAGAAGAAAAGCCCGGATGTGCAGAAAAAAAAGGGAGGGAAAACTGGAGGGAAGAAAAAATAATAGTATTTTCTACGATATTTTGTTAAATTCACGGATGAGAAAAGAACACCCTTTTTACTATGTTGCAGTTTAGGTATGTAGAACAGAGTTTTTTTAAATGCTGTTTGGAAAGTATTGTTTTGCTCTCTGTTGAGTACTGCATCCGCCTTTTTAAGTGATGTCACTGATACAAAAACTGAATAGTTTTACGTTGACTTTTGCATTGTGTTTGTATCTTCATTGCAATAAAGTTTTCTAATACAATTATTTGTACAAGCCTTTCACTATTTTTAGCCCATTCCTAGGCTAAAGGTACTAAAATGGCACAGAGCAGGGGTGAGATTTGGGGGTGGGGGGGAAGAAAAACAGTTCTACTATCTCATTGCCTGGCATAGGAAAAGCACATGATTGCAGTATTGATTTTGCTGTTCATTAGAACAGAATGAAGCTCATAAACAAGCTATATAGGTTAATGTAACAATGGGAAATACTAAATGTCAAAAATTGCTACAAGAGTTTTCAAAATAACCTCTTTTAAAAATTGTGGGGTTTTTAAAAAAATGCATTTGGTCAGCACGATAATTGGGACCGAAAGTTCTGTCCCTAAGCTATGTGGCCATAAAGCATAATGTTCACATGACCTCATTGGTTGTTGATAGCAATCCCTGTTTCTGTCATTAAACAATGACCTGCTGGCAATTTCCTCCCAGCTTCCAACAGCCAAAGGCAGTGAGGAATCCGAGAAAAAGTTCCAAATCCCAGGCAGCTCACAAGCAGGTTGGCAGGCAGGTAAACAGCTGCCTGTTTGTCCTACATCAGTGATGGTGAACCTTTTAGAGACCGAATGCCACAAAACCGCCCACCCCCACCCCCATCCCTGCTCCACTCTGCCCACTGGGCCACCCACCACCTCCACGGCCCACCACAGATCACCCAGCCACACCCTCCGCCCATGTCCCGCAGCATCATCTGCACGTGACGGGGCACAAGGGCAGAGTCTTGTCCCCGCTGCCTGGCTACCATGTCCTTGGCTGCGCTGTTTCACGTGGGCCGCGCACAGGGGCGACTCTCCTCCGGGGGGGCTGCTGGTGAGGAGGGGGCCATGGGAGGAGGCAGGGCTGGGGAGACGGTGCATGTGCCCACAGAGAGGGCTCCGAGTGCTGCCTCTGGCACCCGTTCTATAGGTTCGCCACCACTGTCCTACATAGTACGTTGATACACTCCTTACACTGTATGTTGCAGATAAATCCTGTTGTTTTTTTTCTTCTTCTGGGGCTGCCAGTCTTTTGATTTACTTAGGATGTTTTGGAGGGCTTTAGTTGGCTTGCATGCAGTGGTGATGCCATGTGGTTATAATAGGCTGTTGGTAGTTTCTGAGATGTTTTTAATGTAAGACAGTGTTATCCTTTTCATAGGTTGGTTGTGCTATGTTGGACAATGATCGGGCACATTTTGATAAGTTGTGTGGATATCCGTTTTGTTGAAAGAGGTTGTACAGATGATCTGTTTTCTTTTTCTGATGTTAAGGGTTGCTGTAGTGTTTGTGCTCATCTAAATGGCGTTAGATAGCTTCTCTTATAGGAGATTGGGTTGTTACTTTGGTAGTGGAGCAGTTGGTTGGTGTGGGTAGTTGTACACTAGACTTGTGTTTCTAATTTGTCATTTGCCAATGAAGATCTCCAGCATGTTGCTTTCTTTTTCCCTTGTAAATTTTATTCCTTTGAAGATGTTGATAGTTCCGTGTTTGTTCTCTAGTTGGTCCTTTTTTATTATGACAAAGGTTTCATCTAGGTACCGGATTCATACTTTGAGTTGTATGCTAGGGAGTGCTATAGATTCTAGGCATTACATTACACTCTCTGCTATGAGAAGCAATGATCCCATGAGTGTTGTTTTGATTTGTTGATATATTTGTCTTTCAAACTGAAAGAATGTACAGTAGTCAAATGATCAATCTAGGCCAGGGGTGTCAAACTGCCGGTCCGTGGGCCGGATGCGTCATGCTGAAACCGCGCCCACTCCATTGCCGGCAATGGAAAAAAAGTTGAGATATGTCGCGACACGTCACGTGACGTTGCGAGTTTGACACCCCTGATCTAGGCTGTCAAGTGACAGTATTAGAGGCCCAATTGACACTGGGCCAGTTGGTTCTAATACTAGAGGAAGGCACTCGTGACAGATCAACTCTCACCGGGATCAGTTTCCTTGGTCTGGATCTGGAAAATTGAATTGATTTTTTTCTGTAAAAATGAGACTAAAAGGTTAACTGAAAGTATTATGAGGCTTTTCTCAACAGGCTATCCTCTAGAAGCAGACCAAACAAGGATGTAAACCAGGGGTAGTCAACCTTGGCTCTTTTATGACTCGTGGACTTCAATTCCCAGAATTCCTGAGCCAGCTTAGCTGGCTCAGGAATTCTGGGAGTTGAAGTCCACGAGTCATAAAAGAGCCAAGGTTGACTACCCCTGATGTAAACCCACAGTGCTTTGATACATAAAAATATTTCAGAAAAGCTAATGAAACCATTATGAAATAATCCCAGGGAGAGTTCTGCCTAAAAGGCCCATTCATGGTGAAATCAAGGTTTATATTCTTGCTTATTTTCTCATGTGTTCAGAGCATAACAAGTTTGAAAC